GCAAGAGAAGCAGAAATAAGCAATACTCGCAGGGTATTTAAAGTACCAAAACTTAACTTCGATGCGCGATATTACATCGATTTGATATTTTGGCAAGAGTGTGAGATATCCGCTCCACCGATTTTGCGACAGATGTCCGACGACGAGCTGAGAATTAAGGCTAAAGAACTAAGCTTCGATGTTATTGATTTCCCCTGTCATACACAATCAGTGGAAAGATGTGTAAAGCTAGTGACGGAGGCTTCTCTAAGTGTCACGGACGCTACAGCTCAATCAGAAACAGATTAAAATCTCGCGCGGAAATGCCTAATTTTGGCCACAAGAACCAATTTCGTATTTGAAATAAGCACTAATTATAAGTATTTAAACTTTACTGAACATTACCTTATGTCTTTGTAGTACCTATAAATTTGATTAAAACCTTTAAAACATTATTTTTGTATCATTTATAGTTTATGTTCGAAACCTCTAAAAATGGCAAATTTGAAAAACTACTAGGATCGGTAGAGGCCTAAAGATGACAAATATTTTATTAAAGTTTGTTATATTTGTAATCTATTCACAAAAACGCAACTTTTGATACCTCTTGCGTAGCCGTCGCTTTAAAAAAAAAAACCCATACATTGACGGGACACCCTAGTGGACACCTGTCACTCATGAATAACAAGTGCATTCCCTCCCGGACTTTATTGGAACGGGGTTTGGACTCCGGGAACCTCATTCACCCCGTAAAAACAACGAAACAGTTGCCTAACATCGGTTTTCTGTGAGGTATCATTTCATTCGAGTAGATTCCGGTTCATTTGGCATTTAAATTCTTTACGACCTTCTGTTATTTCAATTTTAAGCTTTTTTCGAGCAGTATCTGAGTCAAAAAATAACATAGAAGGAATCTTAAAATACGAGTGAAACAGTTTCCAACATCAATACATCTTACAAAGAGGATATATTTTATTTTATTTTGTTCGGAATACCAACAGCACAAATAACGCAAGGTAAAACATTAGAGTAAAGTTACAACGAAGCTATTCACAGGTATTCGCAAAAAGATTCCAAGTGTAAAACAACAGTTCAAATAACTTAACAACAATAACTTAGAAAAAGGAAAAAATTAAAACTTAGACTAAGATAATGTCACGCTCCTAATATTGGGCTGAAAAAATTTTTGAAGCATGTATTTTTCGACATGTGAAGGTCTGGATCTGAAGAGCTGAAACTCGCTACTCAATTTATGCATATCATTTACAGATTTACTCGCTCGAATAATAAAGGAATTTTTGCGGTAGTTGGTATTCGTTCGAGGTACTGCTAAGGGTGGATTATGCCTAGTGCGTAAATTATGCGGTACTCTGATTTTAATTTTCTCGAGAAGAATCGAGCAATCTATATCTCCATTAATGATTTTTAATAATGTAACAATATCGGAGACAGTACGTCTATTTGTTAAAGGCAGAAAATGATATCTCTTATATCTTGTTACATATCCATGATCAATACATACATATTCTTGTTTGTCTGGAACGGACTATCAAATACTAGGGATCATTCTAGAAAATTCGATAGCGCTATAAAAGCGGAGCGTATTAACCGTACGAGACAGGCTCTCGGCTCTTTCGACATAAATGGGATGAATAGGGGTGGTGACACTCTGTATTCTAAATCCATCACCACACGGAGCTGTGTCTATGGGCTTGGCATTTTATCTTAATTACTTTTAACAATACTTATCAATTTTATCTCTAAGTCATTAACCACACCCTACCACGTTTATGCAGACGACTTTTAAATCTATTCGCAAGCACCGATACATAAATTATCTGAAACTTTTTTTAACCATTATTATATTATTAGTCTGATATAGTAGTATAGTCTCGAGTTATAGTAAATCTGTCTTAAGACCCAACTTATTTTGGTAGGCAGTGCTAAGATGATAACAAAAACACACTGTACATAACTACACAACATCATGCTTAACGGTACCGCATTGCCAAAGAGAGTACCTGTGTCAAAAATCTAGGCCTTTATATTGCTAATACTGTATCCTGGGGCGCCCAATTGCGAAAATTGTTTGCACCAGCGGTATCCTTGCGAAGGTTACGCAATTTTCTCCCATAACCCATGCCATAAATGCTCATTTTCTATGCTCTATACTCCAAACAATTCAAAGGAACGCTTTATTTTTCTCGATAACACACATTCAGTGAAATATTCTTTTAAGTAACTTCTAACATCCTGATACATTAATAATCCTATGAAAAAAAAACTCGCATGTAAGATCAGGTGCCTGTTTACTTTTCATAACAACTTCAATGAATGTAACAAATATAAAAATGATATGTTCGGTCATTATATTTCAGTTATATTACCGCTACACTGTGGGCATTCGAGATGAGGCTTATGAGTGAGACTTACTTACGGAGAGCGATGCTCCTGCACTTCAAATCAGGCGCCGATTGCATTCAAGTCGCAAAAGTTATCAGAAGCGTATCAAACAAAATAAGCTATTTTAAACGTTTTTTTTTTAATACTAATACATAAAATCTTAAATGAATACAAGTTATAAGAATGTAATAATTGCGACATTTAACTGTAAAAACGTTATGCGATCAGCTGATTGCGTGTTTAGACTATCATGATAATTTCGCCTATACGGGCACTTTGGCGGTGGATACGTCAGCTAAAGTAATAAGTGGACGGCTTTGCGGCGTAGTTGAAGTTTTATGGAGAAAGACAGTGTTAATAATTACTCAAATATTTACAAGTCTCAGTTAACGTAAATAGATTTTCCGCGTGACTTTAGAGAGTGTTCACGTTTAGTATGTTCGCACCCCAGTAATTATTTAGTATTGGTTCATATGTATGCCGAAGTGGTGGTTTCATATATAGTGCAGAATATACCTATTTAGGTAACGATGTGAAACGAAATTAAAGAAAACAAGTAACGGGTAAGAATAGACATGTTCGAGGCGCTCTCAAGTAAACCCGATAATGGTATCAGAATTGGTTACTAAAGGGTAAACGAACATCTGGATATGTTTATCAGAATATGTGCGTATCTAGAAAGTACGTAGAAAGTAGGTAATTTAAAATTATACAGGGTGGCGCAATAGAACGTGCATATTGCATCATCTTTTTTCGCGGGGTAGAAAGTGCGCGGGCGGGGGGAGCCTGCATCGTTGGGTAGGCGGGCTCATGGAGTTTTAGTCACTATGAGTCACTTCGACGGGAAGCGTCGCGCATTTTACGAGAACTCTCGTTCATACATCGTTACTAGGCGTTTATATTGTTCTGAATATGGACTACGGCAAATTAGTAAAGCTCCGAGTGCTAATTTAATTAAAATATGGGTACAGCGTTTTGAAGAGACTGGTTCAACGTTTAAACCACAAGCAAAAGGTTGTCCAAGAACATCTAGGACCGACGACAATATTGAGAGAGTTATGCAGTCTGTACGAGGAGATCCACAAATGTCTACTCGTAAGAGATCGTCTGTCTTACACTTATCGCGACGAAGTTTGCAACGAATTTTAAACTTGGATCTTAAACTGCATCCTTACAAGCTGCAGTTAACACAAGAATTGAAAGAGTCTGACTTCGGAGCAAGGCTCGCATTTGCTAATGAAATGCTTAATCGATTTTCCAATTTTGACAATATCCTTTTCTCAGATGAGGCCCACTTCCATATCAATGGGTTCGTAAACCGTCAAAATTGTCGTTACTGGAACAGTGAGAATCCCAAACTCAAGCACCAGAAACCACTGCATAGTCCTAAAGTGACAGTATGGGCAGCAATCTCTGGTAGAGGAATAATTGGACCGTTTTTCTTTGAAAATGCGCGGGGGCAAAACGTCACTGTTAATACCGAACGCTATGTTGCGATGTTGGAAGGTTTTTTGGCTCCAGAGCTTGAAAATTCAAGAATAGTGAATTCTAGGACTTGGTTTCAACAAGACGGAGCTACCTGTCACACATCAAATGACTCCATGGCGGTTGTGAAACAGATGTTCCCTGGCAGACTGATTTCGAAAAGAGGTGATATCCCATGGCCCCCACGTAGTCCAGACGTGACGCCTCCTGACTTTTTTTTGTGGGGATACCTCAAGAACAAAGTCTACAGTAATAATCCGAAAAACAACGATCAGCTCAAGGAGAATATCCGTGGTGAAATGGCAGCAATTACACCAGCATTACTGAAGAAAGTTTTCAATAACTTCCGTTTGCGATTAGAGGAGTGTCGTCGTAGAGAGGGTCATCATTTAGACGATGTTATTTTTAAAAAATAAACTTCAGTTATTTCTTAATAATACCTCAGTTTTATTTTAACTATACCTTTTGTATTTATTTTCTAATCAATATTTTAAATATGCACGTTCTATTGCGCCACCCTGTACTAAAGTACTGCCAAGAAAATGAACAACAAATAAAAATATTTATTTGAGGATCGCGGGTGCGGTTTACAGAGACTATGAAACTTAAGACGTACAGCAAAAATTGTGTCAAACCTATCGCTAAGAGCAATTTCTTCCTGGTAACCTTAGACTGGACTGGAAATAATTACACAAGTTTAATAATAGTAATGATAGTAGCTAATAGCTACTTTACGACTGTACAGTGTTCACGAACCGAAATCATCGAGCAGTCACTACTATCTACTACTAATGGTATACTTAATACTAAACCTTTGCAACAAAGATATTGGTTAAATAAATATTTTAATTTACGTACAGCTTTACATAGCTACGAATAAGTTTTTTTTTATTAAAAATAATATTTTACTATTACATTCTTTTACTATCTTTACATGTTTACCCCAATACAATAATGGGCTTACTAAAAACATGAAAATAAAAAAAATATATAATGAATTAAAATAAAACGGTATAATTGACAATAATTGATTTATTTATTGACGGATTTTCCTATACAATGTACTAAACATTATAGAAGACAATCCATAAGTAAAGTGTTAAGTTATGCAAAAAAATCTTAGTTCATTTATTTTAAGGTAAATTGTTTTGGCATTGGCACGCGGGTTTAGGTGCTACTACTTCAGCGGAGACATTCACAGCAACTAATATTGCCATCTTAAGTCGGGCAAATAAACCATCTTTGCTAATGGGGTTTGGGCTTGTCGAAATATCTTCCTCACTCTCTCTTATTGTAGATTCAGTGGGGATAACATCCGTACTGTCATTAGAGATGTTCTCCGTGGTATAATCAGAGGCATCATCGGTAACAGCAAAAGTAGTACCATCTGTACTATTATTTGCATCACCGGTGGTAGTATCATAGTTTGTAACATCCGTAATATTGTGAGTGATATTATCGGTGGTAGAATCTGTGGTGTGATCGATTGTAACATCGGTGGTATCAATGATATTACCGTCAGTGGTAACATTATTGCTCTCATCATCATCTGTTTCATATAGTAAGCAATCGCTTTCGGATATTCCGGGCGGTAAATACCGAATAGAATCTACTAAGACTGTAGAATGTGCCGCAGCCCGGCCTAAAATAGTAATCTGAAACAAAAAAAAAATTGTGAAAATAGAATCTAAAATAATTCATGTAAATTTAAACTATAACCAATTATTTTTTAAATTATCGGTAGTTATTTTAATTATTGTCGGGAGTAGGACGTTAATCAGAATAAGTCAGCTGTGAGGCTAGTGGTCTGTTCCAAGGGATACTCAACATTGTGGGGGGCTACCCATGCCCCTTCTGCCGGTACATTAGCATTTTTTGAACTAATAGAAAATTATTTTCCACTTCTCAGTTCGGCTAATTACAAATGCGTGTTTTTCAGACTATTAATATCAAGTAAGTGAGTCACATTAATGCTTCAGTACACGCCTTAGTACGTGCCACAAGTCACTACCGTTGGATATACAATTGGATTATTGTATTATCATCGATCCTTCATAAGTTTGCGAATTCACAATTCCATCCGACTTTTTGAAACGGGTGAAAATCACTTTCAAAGATTCCAATACAAACATACATACAAACAGGTGAAGCTAATAAAAAGAGTATTAAATGCAAATGAAACTTCAGGGAGCTACTAGTTTTATAATGACGTTGAAGTCATTTTAATGCTGTCTAGAGCTAAAATTTTTTTTATATTAGAGGGGACAGATGAGCAGACGGGTCACCCTATGGAAAGTGACTATCGCCGCCCATGAACGTCTGAAACTCAGGAGCCACAAACGCGTTGCCGTTCTTCTAGGAAGGAGTGCGCTCTTTTCTTAAAGGTCTGACTTTTGTATCGGTCCGGAAATACCGCAGATGATAACCCGTTCCACAGATTGGTTGTGCGGGGCAAAAAGTGTCTCGAAAAGCGCAGAGTAGTGGAGCGCCAACTATCCAGGTAATGAGGATGAAAATTTTGCCGTGTATAACGATGGCGGAAGTTTGCGGCTGGTATAAGTCCGAACCATTTTTTTGGAGCCATGAACCATGATATATGCGATAGAGAATGCAGAGTGAAGCCACATCTCTAGGTAACGCCAAGGGATCGAGCCGAACGGAGATGTTTGGGCTATGGACGGCTGGCTAAAGGCGGATGGCTAAATGTGTGTATAATGCGAGTGAGCTATATTTATTTATTTTGATTCACATAAAAAATTGGCAAGCCGCAGTGTTTTTTTATATTTACACAATAATTATTAGTATCAATGGAAACATATTGTACAGAAATAATCTAATTCATAAACTACCTTAAGTAGAAAACTATCTGTATTTTTTATTCTGATTACCAGGAACAAATATCTGCAATATTTGGAATAATTTCCAATTATTATTTTTTGTGATGAGTTACTAAATATTACAGCATATCCCTGTTATGTTGATACACAATTTTGATTTAAACAATGAAAAATTTACATCCGATCGAATACCCATATGGTAGTACCACTATTAATTGTTGTACACCATCATAGTCATCAGCAAATCGCAGTCCACTGCTGGACATAGGCCTCGCACTTGGTTCGGTCCTCTGCTATTCCCTTGGTTTTAAACCAAAAATACAAAATTGTTGTGATAAAAAGTAAAATTAAATACTTACAAGGCCCCTGAACGGTGAGTTGCCTAGTATGGTAATTTGAATAGTGCTCCAGCCTTCAGCAAAGTCAGCACCCCATTTGGTAGCTGTGCCTGCATCTGCATTGTGTTCATCCAATACCGTAACTTGTATTAGATCAAAAGACAAATGATTAGCCATAAATACGTTCACTTCAATAGTACCACCAGGTATCATATCATAAAATGGTGATGAGACGCAGCTAGTTTGCTCATTCGGATATATAAACTGTGTACTACGCTCGTGGAAACCTTCCATGTTTATACTTTCAAAAGTGCCGATTGCCCATGTCCGAACATAATGTGAACAAAACCCCAACTTCGATGAAAATAGATCGTCGAAGCCTTCTTCAAATGTAAATCTTTCACAAGAGAATGCATATGTCACCATTGTTAACAAAACAAAAACTTTGCGTATCATTGTGGTTCGTAATTGCTGTTCCAAATGCTAGTAGATACGAAATCTTTATACATTTTGCCTTAAATGCACGAATCCTTTTTATACTCTGATAAGATATCCTTCTAAGTGATTTGTTTAATGTAGTCGATATTTTGTTACACTTGTGTGTAGATAACTTTTTTCTGTAGATTTTGATTGATTAGAATTTTAATTCTTGATTTTTACAATATTTTAATTGTTTTATCGATAGTCTTCATATATAGCATAGATCATATCTAATTTATCATACGGCACAATAAGAAATGCTATAGAAAGAACAAGTGCCCAAGCCTAGTCTTAACCAATAGGTATTTAAATTTTATTAACGGCTAATGACTTGACGGGCTCTTCTGTAATATTAGGTGGTTTTTTTTTTCTGTTGAATTAATTGTCATTCTTGATTTGAACATATTTCTTATTGTTTTGTCGATAGTTTTAACATATAGCATAGATAATATATCATACGGTACAATAGGATATGCTACTGGGAGACCAAGTGCCCAAGTCTATTCTTATCGAATATTTCAATTTGAGTTATTACTAACGGCTCATATGGGCTTCGCATGTATAAAATCAACTGCCTGTATTTAGGTTATGTGTGGTATATGTTTTTTGTTTTTGGTTCACATCAGATTGTTGCGTCAAATATGTGTATTAGCATCATCCTGACTTGGATTTATTTTCGCTGAAGGCTCTACTGTAACTTGACTTTTTTTGAAACTTGACATTTTAAATACTTATCGTCATACTTGAACTTATTTTGCACTATATTTTTTTAACAAATTATATGCCTAAATATTTTTCATAAATTACCTTGTCGATTGGTGAAAATTAAAATCGCATTAAAATAAAAAATTAGTGGTTTTTGAGTTATTACGAACTAATAAACAGGTGTAGGTTTGCACATTCACCGCAAGAAAGATACCGTTTGTCGTTTCCTGAATTGTCGTCATGGAGAGTGCTCCGACGAATTATTTAGACTAATACCAGCCGCAACTTTCCGCCATCCTTCCACACGGCAAAATTTTTATCTTCACCACTTGGATAATTGGCGCTGTACCACTATGCGCCTTCCGTACCCTTTCCTCAAAGGCCAGCAACGCTCTTGTGACTTCTAAGTTGAAGGCTTTCATGATTGGCGGCAGTCTCTTTCCATCAGGTGACCCGTCTGCTCGTTTGCCCCCTGCTATAAAAAAAGACTTGGAACTTGTTTCATAATACGTACTGATTTGTTCAGTTACAAGTAACATCAGCTTGTAAGTAAACTTCAGTCAACTTTTTAAGTTCTTATTTTATTCTATACGACAATACATAACATCAATGTCCTCATACATCAACAATCCTATGAAAAACACTCTTGCTCCGTTTCAATAACAATTTCAACGAAAATAAGAAACATAATTAACTTATTACATTACAGTTACAGAGATATCACTTTTAGGATCTACTTTGCCTATCTAATCAGGTTTTTTGTTGAGTTTTTAATTGAAAAGGATTATCGTTTAATGCACTACATATAATATTTTAGCGATAGTGTTTTACTTAACAATAACTGTACTGTGTGTGAGCGTGCGTAACTACTATAAGAAACCTACTAAAAACATAGTTTTTCATACATGTTTTATTACCTATCAGCACATGCATTAAGATTACAAATAAAATAAAAGGAAATAGCAATATATTCAAATAAATCCAATATTTTTAGAGTAAAATGGCGAATACGACACTCTAGGGACGCATTGCAACTTTTTCAAATAATTATCGCAAATAATTAATACTGGTATAGCTTTGGGAGTTGAGGAGAATATATTTAGTTATTTATTTATGCATTGGCGGACTTAATGCCCTAGGCATTCTCTACCAGTCACTCTTTTGGTGATGCAGAGAGAACAGGAATTAGGTGCATTTTGTTTAAAGTTTGTTTGTAGTTATACTCGTAATATCAAATATGCGTACATAAACCTATCATACACTAGAACCCATACACCTTATACATACTTAGATACATATAAACTTACATAAATACATACATACCTAAATAAATACCATTAATAATAGTAGATGACAATCATACGACAGTTGATTCTGCCAGATGTTTTACAAAATACTGATTAACTTTAGTTTTGAATGAGGAAGCCTTGTAAGCAATCCTGAACTCGAGGGGAAAGTCATTCCAGAGAAGAATGGACAATAAACAGTGAGCCAACAAACTCAGTCATGCGGGGGAGACAACGAAGAAGAAGGTTATTAGTTTCTGTCGTGATTACTACATAAAAGTAGGAGTTTAAATATGTTGGCGAAGATGGGTTGTTTAAGATAGAGTATAAGACAGTGAGAGCTCGTAGTTTTCGGCGTAGACGAATTGGTAGCCAATTGAGCTGCGAACGGAAAGCGGGTACATGATCACATTTACGGAGATTGTAATCAAATCGAATTCAGTTATTAAGAATACGGTCTAATTTATTGAGAAGATCTGCATTCAGGTCATAACAGCACACATCACCATATTCGATTAAGGGGAAGATAAGGGATTGCACAAGCATGGTCTTGTACAATCCCTAATCTCTCCCAGCTTAAGCCTAGTAGTTCCTGAAATTAACGTAAGGGTTCAACCAAACACACTCTTCAGCTTTATATTAGTTAAATGTAGGTAAACTCAAATAATACACATATTTGTTATACCTATCACTTCTTAATCTATACTTTATGATTTTTCCAACGAAAATAAATACGCTATCGGTTTACAAATGAAAGAGTTTTGAGGTAGTAAACATGAAATAATTACATGACATTAACATGACATGACAATGTAATAACTTTTTTTTTGTAATCGAATGTTTACTACTAAATGTTTTGTAATCTTTTTTTTGAATAATATTTCGGACATCTGACACACAACGCCATCTAGTTTTAAACTAAACAGAGCTTGTACTATAAAAGCTAGATTGACTGTTCTAATACTTATATACTTTTCTTTTATAAATACATAAATATTCGCAGATCATACGAACACTTGCTCAGACCTGGGAATCGAACCCGAGACCTCAGCACAGCAGACGCTGCCTCTTCACCACCGAAGCAGTAAATTTTTTATGACTATTACAATAGCTTCACTGAATTATTGTTGATGGAGGTATAATAAACGATGAAATAATGTTTACAACCACAAGGGAAGCGCTCATCGTCTGTACTTAGCGACTAATGAAAAGTTTTTTATTTATTTAAGCGGCATGAATTAATCAAACTGACTACTCACATTGATTACTTAAAAAAAAACAAAATACATTATCTATTTTGGATATTAAAAGTTTGGGAATGGGGCAGTTGTCCAACTGCTTTGTTCAACTAGTTGAATTATGGTTCTTGACTAGGGGTCGTGGTCCAACTATTTCAGAAGTTAGACTAACGACTCACTCTCATAGTCCCGTAGTCCATTTTTTTATAAATTAAGTTTATTATAAATTGGTTTCATACCCCTCAGTTGCAGACTAAGGTTTTTTAGGTTATCTGGTTAGGTAGAGTAGGGAATACAGCAGTCAAGGTGATCGTTGACGAGTCGAAAGGAGTATTCCCAAAGCACAACAACTGGGTCGCAAGTAATCCCTAGTAGTCGTCGCGGTGTTCCCCCAGCTATCACGCAATGGACCCGTACAGTGAATACTTGGTAAACTAAAAAATATGTCTCTAAGTCAATTTAATAAATTACAATAGAGGTGTGAGGAGTTATGAGAACTAAACTACTAATTTTGAATATCAGTAGTTTTTAAATAACTTTCAATAAAAACCAATCGCTTCAAATGCGCGCGAGCTTCGCGTTGCATAGTCAGAGAAAAGACGATGTGGTAGGGGCACGGCTTCATTGAAAGTGCAGAGATTTCTTTATATAATAATTACTTTAAGCGATTATAATCGCGCGTTGGAATCAATATAAATGCATGTTTACGGTGCCACTAATTTTTTAAATGTGTAAAGGTTTTGAAAATGTGTGTAAATTTTTTTAAATGTGTGTTACCGCTTTCGTATGAATTTGTTTAAAAGCGCGTTAACGCGCTTCATCTGCAAGTCGTTGATGCGTTAAAAATAAGCCGTGTGCAAAGGCCGTAAGCGACTCGAATTCTAGGGCGCATCTTTAATATAAAACTGGAGACGATTTTTTATCAAAATTTTGACGCAACAAACTACCAAAAAGTTCATTTTGAAAACCGTTTTGTAAGCTGTTTTATTCAAGACTAGGTGACCCACTAAACTGTGTCTTCTTTTTTTGGGGGAAATCCCCTCGGATGGCCCCAACGGGCGACCGGTGGGGTGGTTATGTCGAACTCAAGCCGACTGAAAACCGCACGCCATCTCGGGTACCTATGGGTCATCTATGGCCTACAGATAGCCTTCTCATGTGTGAGGACAACGGTCACCTCTTCCTTCTAAAGGGAGTGTGCGCTCCTAGTAATAATCTTTTCTCGGGCCCGCTCCGCCCTCTCTTTCGCAAGCAACTTGCTCCTAGAAGTAGGTGGCGGAGTTCTACGCACTCTCGCTCCATACTATGGCCGCAATCATGGTCCCTAGAGAGAGAATCTTCACTCCGATGGCGTTATTTGTCGACGGCGCAGTTAGTTTTCTTCTTCCTTTCTCCTCTGTCACCCGTCAATGCACTGCTTACTACCGTTTAAACCATGTCCTCTTTCACGCAGTCCATCCATTTTATCTTTGGTTGTCAACCACTTTTATATCCAATCAACTTCTATACTTGAATACTATTTTTTTTTTACTAAAACTATTTTTCTATATTTTGCTTATCTCTACTACTCACATGTCCATACTAAGATAACTTAGGAACGTTGCCCGTAAGTAATAAAGTATGACATACCGTATTACTTTCAAGGGTAAAACTTCATTTAAAGTCAGTTTGAAGAATCTGTGAAAATTAATGCTTATTTAAAATGTTGTTGTTCAAA